TGTCGGAGGATCTCACCTTCAAGGACCATAACATTGTATCAATCGCATCTGCTAGAAAAATGACAGGATGGATAATGAGAACCTTGAAAACTAGGGATGCCAAGCCCATGATGACACTCTTCAGGTCGCTTGTTCTATCTAGGCTGGAATATTGCTGCACACTAACAGCACCTTTCAAGGCAGGTGAAATTGCTGACCTAGAAAATGTACAGAGAACCTTCATGGCGCGCATAACAGAGATAAAACACCTCAATTACTGGGAGCACTTGAAGTTCCTGAACCTGTACTCCCTGGAATGCAGGTGGGAGAGATACATGATTATATACACCTGGAAAATCCTAGAGGGACTAATACCGAACTTGCACACGAAAATCACTCACAACAAAAGTAAAAGACTCGGCAGATGATGCAACATCCCCCCAATGAAAAGCAGGGATATCACTAGCACGTTAAGAGACAATACAATAAGTGTCAGGGGTCCGAGACTGTTCAACCGCCTCCCAGCATACATAAGGGGGATTACCAATAGACCCCTGGCTCTCTTCAAGCAGGCACTGGACAAGCACCTAAAGTCGGTACCTGACCAGCCGGGCTGTGGCTCGTACGTTGGATTGCATGCAGCCAGCAGTAACAGCCTGGTTGATCAGGCTCTGATCCACCAGGCGGCCTGGTCGCAGACCAGGCCGTGGGGGCGTTGACCCCCGGAACTCTCTCCAGGTAAACTCCAGGTAATACATCAAACATGGTGGCTCGTAAGACGTATATATATGACCGAAACAGTCAAAGGTTTCACATGTTGGCATTATTGTATTAATTGCTTATGCAATTAATACAATAATGCAGTAGTCTGCATAACAGTAAATCTATTTTCTTTTGTGTGAATAAAAATTCAACATGGAAAACAAGCGTAATATAGGAGAGGCCTGAGGACATGACTAATGAACAGAGGAAATGTTGTTTTAGTGTCAGGAATATTTACATTGTTTACTGTGGACCCTATTTTGAAAGTGCCAATCTTTGAATTTTATGTGAAATTGGCCAAATTACTGATTTCTGATCACTTTATTTGGTAGTTGAAATAGGCAGTTTATTTTAAACAATCGACAGAACAGAAGGAATACTAGTGAAACAGCTGAGTTTGATTAACTGGAAGAATGGAATTGGCCAAAAATAGGGCTCAAAGTGGGTGATATCATCAATGCATAAATATCGCTGAGACCATTAACTTTGTTACATTGTAATCCATCAAATTTTGTACTTCTGGTTTCATTATGTTTGGAAAAAGATTCTCTATCATTTCATAAGAAAAAAAAAATTTTTTTTTTTAAACTCCCCGACCCTGAGAACAAACTTCAGATCAGGGTTTCCGACCCTGAAAGGGTTAAAGTGCTTATTCCTTGGAGTAGAACAAAGTTTAAAAAAATAAAAATTGGATTAAAACCTACTGACTTATGGAGTGTTGAAATCTGTGGAAAAATGACCCTTTTGTTGACAACATTGTTGCCATTCCAGCAAGAAATAGTTTTTGCTTTTTTTTTTTTAAACAAGTCAGCCGTCTCCCACCGAGGCAGGGTGACCCAAAAAAGAAAAAATCCTCAAAAAGAAAATACTTTCACCATTATTCAACACTTTCACCTCACTCACACATAATCACTGTTTTTGCAGAGGTGCTCAGAACACAACAGCTTAGAAGCATATACTTATAAAGATACACAACATATCCCTCCAAACCACTAATATCCCGAACCCCTCCTTTAGAGTGCAGGCATTGTACTTCCCATTTCCAGGACTCAAGTCTGGCTATATAAAAATACAGTGGACCCCCGGATATAGGCCAGTGCGGAAATCGGCCAATTTGGAAATCAAGCACTTTTTTTTGGTGAAATTTCCCCCCAGGATATCATTGGTATGAGATGCGTCCACCCTCTGGCAACATGCTTCCTCACACGTATCACACTCAATCTGCGCGTCTCTCTCGTTGGGGTAGGAATACTCCACGCATTCATCCATTGATTGTGGTGCTTGTTTATTGATTGCAACTGTGAAATAAGCCACCATGGAGCCAAAGGTAGTTCAGATGGCCAGCCCTTTGGTAAAGAAAGTGAGAAACACGACAGAATTCAAGAAAGAAGTTATCACAAAATACGAAAGTGGCGTTTGTGTGGTGGAGCTGGCCAGGATTTATGGGAAATCTACATCAACAATCAGTTCCATCCTGTTGAAAAAAGCAGAAATCAAGGAAGATAATGTTGTGAAAGGTGTAAATATGCTAACAAAACAGAGGTCTCAAACTATCGAGGATGTGGAGAAGTTGCTGGTGGTGTGTATCAACCAAAAACAATAAGCAGGAGATAGTATTTCAGAGGGGATAATTTGTGAGAAGGCAAGGCAGTTGCATGCCAATCTCGTAAAGACACTGCCGGGAACGAGTGCTGCTGTTAGTGAATTTAAGGCCAGCAAAGGCTGGTTCGACAGATTCAAGAAGCGTAGTGGCATACACAGTGTTGTAAGGCATGGTGAGGCTGCAAGTTCAGACAAACATGCGGCTGAAGAATTCGTGCATGAATTCAAGGATCACATAGAGGCTGAAGGATTCCTCCTCCAACAAGTGTTCAATTGTGACGAAACAGGCCTCTTTTGGAAGAATATGATATGCCAGAGTGGACCTACATCACGAAGGAGGAAAAGGCACTGCCAGGACACAACCCTATGAAGGATAGGCTAACTCTTTTGTTCTGTGGTAACACTAGTGGGGATTTCAAAATGAAGCCATTACTTGTGTATCACTCTGAAAATCCCAGTTCAAGAAAAACAATGTCATGAAGAGTAAATTGTGTGTGATGTGGAGGGTTAACAATAAGGCATGGGTTATGAGGCTAATTTTCATTGAGTGGGTCAATGAAGTGTTTGGCCCGAGTGTGAAGAAATACCTCCTGGAAAATGAATTGCCACTGAAGTGCCTCCTGGTACTGGACAATGCTCCTGCTCATCCTCCAGACTTTGAAGACCTATTGTTTGAGGAGTGTCAGTTCATCACAGTGATGTTCTTGCCCCTTAATACCACTCCTCTCATCCAGCCCATGGACCAGCAGGTCATTTCAAACTTCAAAAAACTGTACACCAAAGCAATGTTTCAAAGGTGCTTTCAAGTGACCTCGGACACTGAATTGACCCTAAGAGAGTTCTGGAGGAATTGCTTTGATATCCTCCGTTGCATAAGCCTTATAGATAAAGCTTGGCAGGGAGTGACTTCCAGGACTTTAAACGCTGCCTGGAGAAAATGTGGCCTGAATGTGTCCTCAACAAGGATTTTGAAGGGTTTGTGGAATCTATTGTTTCATTGGGGAAGTCCATGGGGTTGGATATGAGTGGCCAGGATGTGGAAGAGTTGGTGGAGGACCACAGGGAAGAGCTAACCACTGAAGAGTTGCAAAACCTTCAACAGGAACAGCAACAGACCACAGCTAAGGATATTGCTTCAGAGGAGGAAGAGAGGGGCTAGAATGTGCCTTCGTCAGTGATTAAGGACATTTGTGCAAAGTGGAGCGAGGTGCAAAGTTTTGCACAAAATTATCCCCCTGACAAAACTGTTGCAAGCTGTGTCTGCAATATGTCTTGTCCCACTTTAGGCAAATTTTACAGAGATGCCAGAAACAGGCCATTCTGGACAAATTTTTGGGGCAACAGGGGTACAGCGACTCTCAAGCTGGTCCTAGTGCCAGTAAAAAACAAAGAAGGGAAGTAACCCCAGAGGGGGATTTGATACCTGAAGTCCTTATGGAGGGAGATTTCCCTTCCAAACAATAACCCCAACTCCCTCTCCCCTCCTCGCCTTCTTCCATATGCTAACCAGTCTTCAATAAAGGTATGCAATGTTCATTTATTATTAAAATTACTGCTTTGTATTTCTTTCTCATTGTTTTCTGTATGTAAAACTATAGGTATTCTTTAAAAAATGAATTTTTGTTAATATTTTTGCATGTCTGGAATGGATTAATTGGATTTACATTGTTTCTTATAGGAAATATTACTTCGGTTTTTGGCCATTTTGGATTTAGGCCAACCTTCTGGAACGGATTACGGCCGATAACTGGGGGTCCACTGTACATTTCATAATGGTTAAAGCTAATTTTCAAGTTGTTTTAATAGCAAAAATAGGCAGAGAAGCACATCCTACTTTTAGTAACCGGCCAACAATTCTATACTTTTTCAACAACTGTCACACTGCTTCCCTATCCAAGTTATATCTTATTTGTAAATCCGTAAATGCAACAAAAAGTTCATTACTTTCAATTATTGTTCACTTATATAATTCAGTGTGAATGTTCATTTATATCTCTTAAAGTGAATACTTGGTCTACACATCCCCTACCTTTCATAAAACCCCCTTGGTCCTCTGCACTCCTATTATTTGCTTTACCTGGCCCACCCTATTACATGTATATCCTTTTCTAAATCCACAAATGCAACAAGAAGCTCCTTATCTTAAAAAGTAATATTCACTTATGTGTTTCAATGTAAATACAGTGGAACCTCGGTATACGACCAACTTCTTACTCGAACAAAGCTCAGCACTCGACCAAACAAATACGACCTGCCAGAACTTCGCTGCAAACTATTTCATGTTTCTTCACACTTTTTTTTTTTTGTATTATTTGTATAAATAAGTCACCATGGGGCCTACGATGATTAGTGATAACAGCCAATCAAACAGAAAACTGGTTGGGAAGAACTTGTTTGATACTCAAACGGAATGGCACTCGAACAGCCTTCTGGAATGAATTAAGGTCGCATACCGAGGTTCCACTGTACTTGGTCTACATATTACCTACCCTTCAAACAGCTTCCTTCTTAGTCTGCATTTCTACCTACATTTTGCCTTATATACTTAAGATGTTGATTTCCTATAATTTTTACTCCCTATGTCCTCTTTTCCTTTATACAAAAGAAATATACATGCTCTTTGCATACAGACAGACAAACTACCCAAGAAAACTTACTGCTTGTTTATTTTCTCCATGACTAACTGCCATCTGGTATGTGTGGTCCAATTGTTGGTCACCTTTATTTAGGCGAAATTTAGTTTTGGTTAGATCTCGCCATCCACCATTTCTACTGGAGAAGTCCACTACCCAAGGTACAGTAGGGTGATGGTGGGGCGAGTAGAATTTTCGACCCGCAAAATAATTAAGGCATAGTAGGTAATCAAGAGTTGTTATCTGGTGTCCAACCTGCAAGGAAGTGTAACAAAAGTTTAAAATTATGAAGCACTAATTACAGTGAAAATTTATACACATATAATATATGATTTTGTGTATAGGGCAAGGAGGAATAACATCTTGTAGGAGTGAGGAAGAGCCAGTTGTGAGTGTGGGGGAAGTTCGTGAGGCAGTAGGTAAAATGAAAGGGGGTTAGGCAGCCAGGATTGATGGGATAAAGATAGAAATGTTAAAAGCAGGTGGGGATATAGTTTTGGAGTGGTTGGTGCAATTATTTAATAAATGTATGGAAGAGGGTAAGGTACCTAGGGATTGGCAGAGAGCATGCATAGTTCCTTTGTATAAAGGCAAAGGGGACAAAAGAGAGTGCAAAAATTATAGGGGGATAAGTCTGTTGAGAATGTGTGTAAAGGTAGAAAGTTGAAAGTGAACATAGAAAAGAGTAAGGTGATGAGGGTATAAAATGATTTAGATAAAGAAAAATTGGATATCAAATTGGGGAGGAGGAGTATGGAAGAAGTGAATGTTTTCAGATACTTGGGAGTTGACGTGTCGGCGGATGGATTTATGAAGGATGAGGTTAATCATAGAATTGATGAGGGAAAAAAGGTGAGTGGTGCGTTGAGGTATATGTGGAGTCAAAAAACGTTATCTATGGAGACAAAGAAGGGAATGTATGTAAGTATAGTAGTACCAACACTCTTATATGGATGTGAAGCTTGGGTGGTAAATGCAGCAGCGAGGAGACGGTTGGAGGCAGTGGAGATGTCCTGTCTAAGGGCAATGTGTGGTGTAAATATTATGCAGAAAATTCGGAGTGTGGAAATTAGGAGAAGGTGTGGAGTTAATAAAAGCATTAGTCAGAGGGCAGAAGAGGGGTTGTTGAGGTGGTTTGGTCATTTAGAGAGAATGGATCAAAGTAGAATGACATGGAAAGCATATAAATCTATAGGGGAAGGAAAGAGGGGTAGGGGTCGTCCTCGAAAGGGTTGGAAAGAGGGGGTAAAGGAGGTTTTGTGGGCGAGGGGCTTGGACTTCCAGCAAGCGTGCATGAGCGTGTTAGATAGGAGTGAATGGAGACGAATGATACTTGGGACCTGACGATCTGTTGGAGTGTGAGCAGGGTAATATTTAGTGAAGGGATTCAGTTTTTCTTTTTCGGGCCACCCTGCCTTGGTGGGAATCGGCCGGTGTGATAATAATAATAATAATTCAGGGAAACCGGTTATTTTCATATAGTCGGACTTGAGTCCTGGAAATGGGAAGTACAATGCCTGCACTTTAAAGGAGGGGTTTGGGATATTGGCAGTTTGGAGGGATATGTTGTGTATCTTTATACGTATATGCTTCTAAGCTGTTGTATTCTGAGCACCTCTGCAAAAGCAGTGATAATGTGTGAGTGAGGTGAAAGTGTTGAATGATGATGAAAGTATTTTCTTTTTGGGGATTTTCTTTCTTTTTTGGGTCACCCTGCCTCGGTGGGAGACGACCGACTTGTTGAAAAAAAAAAAAAAAAAAAAAAAAAAAAAAAAAAAAAAAAAAGTCTGTTGAGTATACCTGGTAAAGTGTATGGTAGATTTATTATTGAAAGAATTAAGAGTAAGACTGAGAATAGGATAGCAGATGAACAAGGAGGCTTTAGGAAAGGTAGGGGGTGTGTGGACAAGGTGTTTACAGTGAAACATATAAGTGAACAGTATTTAGATAAGGCTAAAGAGGTCTTTGTGGCATTTATGGATTTGGAAAAGGCATATGACAGGGTGGATAGGGGGGCAATGTGGCAGATGTTGCAGGTGTATGGTGTAGGAGGTAGGTTACTGAAAGCAGAGAAGAGTTTTTACGAGGATAGTGAGGCTCAAGTTAGAGTACATAGGAAAGAGGGAAATTATTTCCCAGTAAAAGTAGGCCTTAGACAAGGATGTGTGATGTCACCGTGGTTGTTTAATATATTTATAGATGGGGTTGTAAGAGAAGTAAATGCGAGGTTCTTGACAAGAGGCGTGGAGTTAAAAGATAAAGAATCACACATAAAGTAGGAGTTGTCACAGTTGCTCTTTGCTGATGGCACTGTGCTCTTGGGAGATTCTGAAGAGAAGTTGCAGAGATTGGTGGATGAATTTGGTAGGGTGTGCAAAAGAAGAAAATTAAAAGTGAATACAGGAAAGAGTAAGGTTATGAGGATAACAAAAAGATTAGGTGATGAAAGATTGGATATCAGATTGGAGGGAGAGAGTATGGAGGAGGTGAATGTATTCAGATATTTGGGAGTGGACGTGTCAGCGGATGGGTCTATGAAGGATGAGGTGAATCATAGAATTGATGAGGGGAAAAGGGTGAGTGGTGCACTTAGGAGTCTGTGGAAACAAAAAACTTTGTCCTTGGAGGCAAAGAGGGGAATGTATGAGAGTATAGTTTTACCAACGCTCTTATATGGGTGTGAAGCATGGGTGATGAATGTTGCAGCGAGGAGAAGGCTGGAGGCAGTGGAGATGTCATGTCTGAGGGCAATGTGTGGTGTGAATATAATGCAGAGAATTCGTAGTTTGGAAGTTAGGAGGAGGTGCGGGATTACCAAAACTGTTGTCCAGAGGGCTGAGGAAGGGTTGTTGAGGTGGTTCGGACATGTAGAGAGAATGGAGCGAAACAGAATGACTTCAAGAGTGTATCAGTCTGTAGTGGAAGGAAGGCGGGGTAGGGGTCGGCCTAGGAAAGGTTGGAGGGAGGGGGTAAAGGAGGTTTTGTGTGCGAGGGGCTTGGACTTCCAGCAGGCGTACGTGAGCGTGTTTGATAGGAGTGAATGGAGACGAATGGTTTTTAATACTTGACGTGCTGTTGGAGTGTGAGCAAAGTAACATTTATGAAGGGGTTCAGGGAAACCGGCAGGCCGGACTTGAGTCCTGGAGATGGGAAGTACAGTGCCTGCACTCTGAAGGAGGGGTGTTAATGTTGCAGTTTAAAAACTGTAGTGTAAGGCACCCTTCTGGCAAGACAGTGATGGAGTGAATGATGGTGAAAGTTTTTCTTTTTCAGGCCACCCTGCCTTGGTGGGAATCGGCCAGTGTGATAATAAATAAAAAAAATAATAATAGACAGTAAAGAAAAAGTACATTTTTAACTTCATCAACTAGATTCTACATTAAATAATAATAATCATAACAACTATAGATAGTAGGTTGGTTGACAGCAACCACCCAGGGAGGTACTACCGTCCTGCCAAGTGAGTGTAAAATGGAAACCTATAATTGTTTTACATGATGGTAGGATTGCTGGTGTCTTTTTTCTGTCTCATAAACATGCAAGATTTCAGGTACGTCTTGCTACTTCTACTTACACTTAGGTCACACTACACATACATGTACAAGTATATATGTACACACCCCTCTAGGTTTTCTATTTTCTTTCTAGTTCTTGTTCTTGTTTATTTCCTCTTATCTCCATCGGGAAGTGGAACAGAATTCTTCCTCCGTAAGCCATGCATGTTGTAAGAGGCAACTAAAATGCCGGGAGGAAGGGGTTAGTAACCCCTTCTTCTGTATAAATTACTAAATTTAAAAGGAGAAACTTTCGTTTTTCCTTTTGGGCCACCCCACCTCGGTGGGATACGGCTGGTACGTTGGTACAGTTGGTGTCCCACAGGGAAGTGTCCTTGGCCCTCTTCTCTTTCTCCTATACATAAATGACCTACCAAATGCTTCGCAATTACTCAAACCCACACTATTTGCAGATGACACTACATACGTCTTCTCTCACCCGAGCTCAGTCACGCTAGCCAATACTGTAAATACCGAATTACAGAAAATATCTAGCTGGATGAGGACTACCAAACTTACACTAAACATTGACAAAACCTACTTCATTCAGTTTGGTAACAGAGCCACAGATGTCCCTCTTAACATTATGATAAACGGATCACCTATCACAAAGCTAACAGAGGGAAAATTCTTAGGAATCCACCTTGATAATAGACTCAAATTTCATACACATATACAACAAATTTCTAAGAAAATTTCCAAGACCTTAGGCATACTATCGAAGATACGGTACTATGTTCCATAGTCAGCCCTCCTGGCCCTATATCACTCTCTTATTTACCCCTATCTCACCTATGGAATTTGTGCATGGGGCTCAACAACAATTAACTATCTCAGACCATTAATTACCCAACAAAAGGCTGCAGTCAGAATGATAACAAATTCCCACTACAGGCAGCACACTCCACCAATATTCAAAGCACTAAACCTACTCACCATACTAAACATCCATACTTATTACTGCACCTATTACATACATAGAACACTTAACTCTGATATTAACCCTCCCCTCAAACATCTCCTTGCCAACCTCAACAGAACACATGACCATAACACAAGGCACAGATCACTCTTTGATGTTCCTCGTGTCCATCTCACGCTATGCAAAAATTCAATGCACATTAAAGGCCCTAAAATCTGGAATTCATTACCTGTAAATATAAAAGAAACACTACCTGTTTATAAATTCAAGTCTCTTCTCAAAGATCACTTACTCACCCAAAACCAAATAAATACTGAATAACTGAACCTTATAAATTGTATATCTTAAATGTTTCTCACAATTATATCACATAAATGTTAAACCTAAGACCCAATCTAACTTTGTTATTTTTTAAATACACTACCTAACAGAATACTCCATTCGACTGAATGTACAGCAATGCATGCAACCATATGACCTGTCTTTGTAATACTCATTTGTGCTTTATTGTTATCTGTTTACAATAATGTTTTATCACTGATTACATCATTGCTTAGTTAATCTTAAGTTAATTTTAAGCCAGCCTGTAATGCTATGCATACAAGTGGCTTTGGCATGCTGCTCTTACCTGTATTTTTTTGTACCTCTGTATGTATTCTCAAATTACTATGTATGTATGTTTATTTATTTGTATTTTTTACCATGCTGGCATCTCCCACCAAGGTAGGATGACCATCATTCACACTATCACTGTCTTGCCAGAGGCGCACAGATACAACAGTTCAGATTTCCCTCCAATAATAAATATCCCATCCCCCCTTTAGACTGCAGGTACTGTACTGCTCACCTCCAAGACTCAAGTCCAGCTAACTGGTTTACCAGAATCCCTTCACAAAATGTTACCTTGCTCACACTCCAACAGCTCGTCAAGTCCCAAAAACCATTTGCATCCACTCCTACCTAACATGCTCATACATGACTGCTGTATGTCTAAGCACCTTGCACACAAAACCTCCTTTACCCCCTCCCTCCATCCTTTTCTAGGTCTCTATGGTTCACCTTGTCTTTCATATACCCATCTCTGGCAAGTCTACTCCCAAGTATCTGAACACATTCACCACCACCATACTCCCTCCCTCCATTCTGCTATTCAATCTTTTATTGTCTAACTCATTTATTATCCCTCATCACTTTGCTCTTATCTATGTTCACATTCAACTTCCTTTATACCCCCTCCCAAATTCATCAACCAACCCTTGCAACTTCTTTTCACTATCTGCCAAAAGTACAATGTCATCAGCAAACAGTAATTGTGTCAACTTCCATTTTGTATTTGATTCCCCATAATTTAATCCCACCTCTCTCCCCAACATCCTAGCATTTACTTCTTTTACAACCCCATCTATAAATATGTTAAACAACCATGGTGACATTACACATCCTTGTCTAAGGCTTACTCTTACTGGAAAGTAATCTCCCTCTCTCATACACACCCTAACCTGAGCCTCACTATCCTCATAAAAACTCTTTACAGCATTTAGTAATTTACTACCTATTCCATACACTTGCAACATCTGCCACATTGTTCTGCTATCCACCCTATCATATGCCATTTCTAAATCCATAAATGCAACAAAAATTTTCCTACCTTTATCCGAATATTGTTCACTTACATGCTTCACTGTAAACCTTGGTCTACACATCCCTATACTAAAACTTCCTTGTTTATCTGCAATCCTGCTCTCTGTCTTACTTCTAATTCCTTCAATAACAATCCTACCATATAGTTTACCTGGTATACTCAGTAAACTTCTTCTTTCAACGTACCAGCCGTATCCCACTAAGGTGGGGTGGCCCAAAAGGAAAAATTAAAATTTCTCCTTTTAAATTTAGTAATATATACAGGAGAAGGGGTTACTAGCCCCTTGCTCCTGGCATTTTAGTCACCTCTTACGACAAGCATGGCTTACAGAGGAAGAATTCTGTTCCACTTCCACATGGATAACTCAGTAAACTTATTCTCTTATATTTTTTACATTATATTTTGTCCCCCTTCCCTTTATATAAAGGAACTATACACTCTCTCCACCAGTCCCTAGGTACCTTCTTCTCTTTCTAACATTTACTTAACGAAAGTACCAACCACTCCCAAAACTATATCCCCACCTGCTTTTAACATTTCTTTCATGATTCCATCAGTTCCAGCTGCTTTACCCCCTTTCATTCTACCCACTGCTTCACGCACCTTCCCTACACTCATATCTGGCTCCTCATCACTCCTAAAAGATGTTATACCTCCCTGACCAATGTACGAAATTACTGCCTCCCTCTCTTCATCAACATTTAACAGTTCCTCAAAATATTCCCAACATATTCCCAATACCTCCAACTCCCCACCTACTAACTCCCCTATTCTGCTTTTAATTGTCAAATCCCTTTGTTCCCTAGGCTTTCTTGACCCATTTATCTTACTCAAATTTTTTTTCTTATTTTCAGCAAAATTTGTTGACAGCACCTTATCCACTATCATCTGCTCTCCTTTTGTACTCCCTCACCACTCTCTTCACCTCATTTACTCTCCATATGCTCAACTCTTCTTATAACACTTCTGCTTTGTAAAAACCTCTTGTAAGTACCCTTTTTCTCTTTTATCACATCCTTTACCTCATCATTCCACTAATCATTCCTTTTTCCTCCCATCACAAGCTTCTGTCCTGCCACAAACTTCTGTCCCATGTTCTTACACTGCATTTTTAAAACTATCTCACCCCTCTTCAACCCCCACACTACGTATACTCTCACTAGCCCACCTTCTCTTAACAGTTGCTTATATCTCACCCTAACTTCCTCCTCCATTAGTTTATAAACTCTCACTTTTCTCACTGTTGCCATTTTACTTTTGCACCATCTACCTCTTGCTCTAACTGTAGCTACAACTAAATAATGATCTGATGTATCTGTTGTTCACATATATGCTTCAATATGAACACTTGGTCTACACATCCCTTACCATTTCTAAAGCCTCCTTGTTCATTTGCAATCCTTAATTCTTTCAGCAATAACCCTACCATACACTTTACTTCGTATACTAAGTAGGCTTATTCCCCTATAATTTTTACACACTTTTGTTTCCTTCCTTTTATGTAAAGGAACTATGCATGCTCTCTGCCAGTTCCTAGGTACCTTCTCCTCTTTCATACATCTATTGAACAGAAGTATGAAACACTCCAAAACTATATCACCACCTACTTTTAACATAATCTCGGCTGCTTTACCCCCCTTTAATTTTACCCATTTCCTCATGCACCTTTCTCACAGACACATCCTGCTCTTGTGTACTCCTGAAAGATGTTTTACTCTTTGGCTAATGGATGAAATAATTGTGTCCCTTTCTTCATCAGCACTTAACAGCTTCTCAAAGTATTCCCTCTATTTTCATCTCTTCCTTTTTTAACTGTTAAATCCATTTGTTCCCAAGGATTTCTCAACTTATTAATCTGACTCCAATTTTTTTTTATTATCAGCACAATTTGTTGACAATCTCACTCACTCACTCGGAAAATGAAGTGGATATGCTGCAGTTAATATTAGAAAGTGATGTCTATGCCTTACTGGAAAAGAAGCTTGAGAGCAAGTGATAGTGAGTGTATTTTTGTTTCATCTAACCTTAGTGGGAAAATAGCCATTGAGACAGCATTCTCAAGACAACATTCAAAAATGCAGCTATGACAACAATATAACACAAAGATGAAAAACAAATAACTCTAGCAGGGACACCTAATTAGCTAATGAAGTGCATCTGATTACCCAGATTTTCAGATTAGTGTGGGTAAAGATCAAAGTGAATCATTACGCAGTCAAGAATTCCCAAATATTGTCAATGATGGAGTAAAAAGCAAAAATGAAATGGAACATTCATACAAATATTAGGGTATTATTATATTCATGGAAAGGTATTAAATCTACAGGAAAACTCACAGTGCCTGAGGAATGGGAGATAAACAGGTTTGATTCATGTGTAGGTAGTGCTAATTTTTTGGATCAAGAACTGTTCATCTGAATAAAGACAATCCCACTGTAGGTACATGTACCAATAATATAGAGTTCAAAGGAAAGACAAAATGAATTTGAATAATGTGAGTCAACTTTATACAAAGAACAAACATACTATAGAAAGAACAAGAACAAAATTATGAGGACAATTGGTAAAATAGTCAGAGATGTGGGTATGCATCAATGAAGACTGAAGATATTACATACCCAAAGTTGTGTTAGTTGTACCAATGAACACTGAAGCAGTACTTCCAGTTCTGCATCTTGAGTACTGTTGCTCTCCATCTGTAATATGCGACAATGAATACTGTTAAATAAATACATTAACAGGTGCTATCAAAAAGCTCTAGGACTCGAATCTTTGCACACTTCTTGGATGAAATATGTCAATGGCACAGATCATGCTGTACAGTACACTCTTTTGTGAAGGAGAATGGTGAGTTTCAGTGTGATTGGTTATTCTGCTGAGGTCAGATGGGCATTTTTTTGTCATGTCAGTGAGTTGTTGCAATTTTTTGTGTAACAGAATAGAATAATTTCAAGAACAGTGTGACTGTGTAAGTGTGTTTGTTTGTTTGTGTGAAATTCTGTCTCAAGCTTGGTAAGGCGGCTAGTGAAACTTACAAAATGGTTGAGCAAGTATTTGGCAATGAATCAATGGGTGAGACAGATTTTGAATGGCTTTCTCAATTCAAAGCAGGACAAATGTCAGATGAAGATGATGAATACTCTAGTTATCCATTAACATCAAAAACGTATGCTGACATTAAAAAAGTGAGGCAGGCAATCCACAAAGACTGTCATCAGTATATTCAGGACAATGTATAAGTGCTGTGGGAATTTCTTATGGGTTGTATCAAAGCATTTCAACTGAAAATTTGAACATGAGGCAGGGCAAGACAGGCCAGAGCAAGCAAGGCAGGACAGGCCAGAGCAGGTAGGGAAGGACAGGCCAGAGCAGATAGGACAGGACAAAGTAGGCAGGACAGGACAAAGCAGGCAGGACAGGACAAAGCAGGCAGGACAGGACAGGCCAGAGCAGGCAGGACAGGATAGGGATGGGCAGACAGGGCAGGCAGAGACTGATAAAGAATTCTTCTTTCTTTCAATACACTGGCCATATCCCATCGAGGCGGGGTGGCCCAAAAGGAAAAACGAAAGTTTCTCCTTTTACATTTAGTAATATATACAGGAGAAGAGGTTACTAGCCCCTTGCTCCCAGCATTTTAGTCACCTCTTACAACACGCATGGCTTACGGAGGAAGAATTCTGTTCCACTTCCCCATGGAGATAAGAGGAAATAAACAAGAATAAGAACTAGAAAGAAAATAGAAGAAAACCCAGAGGGGTGTGTATATATGTGCTTGTACATGTATGTGTAGTGTGGCCTAAGTGTAAGTAGAAGTAGCAAGACATACCTGAAATCTTGCATGTTCATGAGACAGAAAAAAGGACACCAGCAATCCTACCATCATGTAAAACAATTACAGGCCTTTGTTTTACACTCACTTGGCAGGACGGTAGTACCTCCCTGGGCGGTTGCCATCTACCAACCTACTACCTATATGATAAAGAATTATATACTTAATATATACACTCTTATTGTCATTGTCACCCACTGCCTACATCTGGTACGTATACAATTTCCCTCCCTCCTCTGCCTGCCTTCCTTCCTTCCTTCCACCCTCCCTCACTCTCACCCACCTCCTCATCCCTCCCACTCACCCTGTCTTGCCTTTGGATTGAGGCCTACCCACAGTGCTTGTTACGGCATTATGCCAGGTGAGTGCCCCGGCATAATGCCGTGATGAAAATCAAAGGCCTACCATACAGGGATGTCTTTTCTCGTCAGTGCATTCTGCATGGTAGCAAATGTTAGCATGACATCATGGCCTTTCACCACACTTCACAGTGATTTCTCATTGCTCACATGGCTGCCGTGGTGAGAGGAAGTGTTGCACTTTTGTCTCTCATCCGTCCCATCTTTTGTCCAGTGTTCCCTTTGGTTTTGGGTAAATGGAAGTCTTTAACACCTGAAACTGTAGCTCAAATCATAGGGCTTCACAAAGCTGGGTATCAGATGAAAGAAATAGTGGAGAATGTGAGTGTGTGAGCATTCAGTGAGGAAATGGGTGCAGTGTTTCAAGGCTGGTGGTAGTGTCGAGTTACCGTCTGCCAAACCTCGGCCTGGCCCCTCCAAGAAAACACCTGTTCGTACCTTAACTGTGTTAAAGAAGCAGTTACTATCTAGCTGCTTCTTTAACACAGTTAATGTAAGAACAGATGTCTTCTTGGAAGGGCCAGGCCAAGGTCTGGCAGACGATAACTTGACACCGCCACCAGCCTTGAAATACTGCCCCCAGTTCCTCACTAACACTCACACATACTAACATTCTCCAAAATTTCTTTCATCTGGTGCCCAGCTTTGTGAAGCCCTATGATTTGAGCTATAGTTTCAGTTGTTAAAGACTTCATTTTACCCATACTCAAAGATGTATAGCCCCAAAACCAAATGGAACACTTCACAAAATACATGTATAGGACGGATGAGAGACAAAAGTGGAACACTACCTCTCACCACAGCAGCCACGTGAGCAATGAGAAGTCACTGTGAAGTGTGGCAGAAAGCTGTGACATCATGCTAACAGCTGCTACCCAGCAGAATGCACTGATGAAAAAAGACCCCCCCTTTATGGTAGACCTTTGATTTTCATCACAGCACTATGCTGGGGTGCTCACCCGGCATAATGCCATGACGAGCACTGTATATGTATCTACTATCGTATGCGCATAGCATCTCAAATTTTTCAATGCAACTTAAAATTAAATTCCTTTATGAGGGTAAATTGTAACTCAAAATTATTTTAACTCACAGGGCTATTGTACACAAATAATTTGAATAAGAAAGTTAATATGACAGCTTACCTGCTTTAAGATATCAAAGGCCTCTTCGCTAGACAGCAGTTTCTGATAGGAAGGCAACCTTCTATCTAACTGATTAACAATTTGCCTTTTAGTTTCCACATTAGCATCGTTATTCATCGGGGTATTATCACTACTAAGTAATTTTGCCATAGTTAATGGACTGGCAAATAACACTGTGTTAGCTTGTTGGCACTGAGTGGCATAATTATTTTCCGAGTCCAAATCTTGACATTCTGAAATGCGCTCAAACTCAGAGCTTTCTAAACCATATGCTGTGTCCATCAATGACACACCAGTTAACAAGTTACTTTTCTCCCAGTCAGTCTCCTCTATAGCTTCCTTCTCTGCTTTCTCTCTGGGTGTGTGTAGGGAGTGGGGGGACTCAGGCTGAATCAAGTTATCAGGAATGCTTGGCAGTAAGCTGAGGTAGAGAGAGTCATCAATGAAAAGATGACTTAAGGTGAAGTCTCCGAGGTGAAGTCCTCTGTCATGTGTGTCTCTGGCTGCTTCCAAAATCTGGTATAGTATAAACAGTGGCCGTGCTTCACATTCACTTAACTTGGCAGGGCTGTGGGTTAGACAATGTTTTAAAGCTAAGTAAATAATTATGTACAAGTTAAAAATAGTAATAAAAAGAAATGGCCAAAAAAAGTGAATGTGTGGTTTGCTTGTGTACAAACATATATAAACAGTATTATTAACACTAAACTTTATTTTCTTGTGCAAAATTATGAGATTGTGTATTATTGTGTATAGTATCATAAAAAATCTTGAAATGCATCTAATATAAAAAACTAAGTGTAATAGTGTTAAGTATTGAAAATATAAATAACTGAAAAGAAATAAAAATTCAGCAACAATAAATTGTAAAAACATGCATACTGATACGAGTATTTATGCCATCACTGCTGCTGACAAATAATAATTTTCAGCCAAATTAAATGCCATAAAATTGTTTACATTGAAGCATATATGTGAACAGTATTTAGATAAAGGTAGAGAAGTTTTTATTGCATTTATAGATTTAGAAATGGTATATGATAGAGTGGATAGGGGAGCAATGTGGCAGATATTGCAAGTACAGTGGACCCCCGGTTAACGATTTTAATCCGTGCAAGAGGGCTCATCGTTATGCGAAATAATCGTTATGCGAATGAATTTTCCCCATAAGAAATAATGGAAATAAAATTAATCCGTGCAAGACGCCCAAAAGTATGAAAAAAATTTTTTTTTACCACATGAAATGTTAATTTTAATACACACAAACTGAAAAAGGCATGCACAATTACATGACACTTACTTTTATTGAAGATCTGGTGATGATTGATGGGATGGGAGGAGGGGAGAGCATTATCTTCTTACTGTTTAGAAGGGGAATCCCCTTCCATTAGGACTTGAGGTAGCAAGTCCTTTTCTGGGGTTACTTCCCTTCTTCTTTTAATGCCACTAGGACCAGCTTGAGAGTCACTGGACCTCTGTCGCACAACAAATCTGTCCATAGAGCTCTGTACCTCCCGTTCCTTCAAGACTTTCCTAAAATGGGCCATAACATTGTCATTGAAATAGTCACAAGCACGGCTTGCAACAGCTGTGTCAGGGTGATTTTCATCTATAAAGGTTTGCAGTTCAACCCACTCTGCACACATTTCCTTAATCTTTGAAGTAGGCACAATGGATTCCACAACTGGCATAGGCTTCTCAGGGTTAGCCCCAAACCCTTCAAAATCTTTCTTAATTTCCATACTAATTCTCACCCTTTTTACCACAGGGTTGGCACTAGAAGCTTTCTTGGGGCCCATGGTCACTTATTTTCCAGAAACAGCACCGAAAACACTGTAATAATACGAAATATTCCGAGTGTATGCTTGGATGTTACCGCGGAGGCTGGCTGGTAAACAATGGGACGGCCGGCACATGTGAGGGCACATTGGACGCGTCTCGGACGAAAATCGGTAAGCGGGTTTTTAATCGGTATGCGCGGCAAAAATTTTGCGATAAAAGTAATCGTTATGCGGAAAAATCGCTATGTGATGCCATCGTTATGCGGGGGTCCACTGTATATGGAATAGGTGGTAAGTTACTAAATGCTGTAAAGAGTTTTTATGAGGATAGTGAGGCTCAGGTTAGGGTGTGTAGAAGAGAGGGAGACTACTTCCCGGTAAAAGTAGGTCTTAGACAGGGATGTGTAATGTCACCACGGTTGTTTAATATATTTATAGATGGGGTTGTAAAAGAAGTAAATGCTAGGGTGTTCGGGAGAGGGGTGGGATTAAATTATGGGGAATCAAATACAAAATGGGAATTGACACAGTTACTTTTTGCTGATGATACTGTGCTTATGGGAGATTCTAAAGGTTAGTGAACGACTTTGGGGGTGTGTGTAAAGGTAGAAAGTTGAAAGTGAACATAGAAAAGAGTAAGGTGATGAGGGTATCAAATGATTTAGATAAAGAAAAATTGGATATCAAATTGGGGAGGAGGAGTATGGAAGTGAATGTTTTCAGATATTTGGGAGTTGATGTGTCAGCGGATGGATTTATGAAGGATGAGGTTAATCATAGAATTGATGAAGGAAAAAAGGCGCATTGAGGTATATGTGGAGACAATAAACGTTATCTATGGAGGCAAAGAAGGGAATGTATGAAAGTATAGTAGTTCCAACACTCTTATATGGGTGTGAAGCTTGGGTTGTAAATGCTGCAGCGAGGAGGCAGTTGGAGGCAGTGGAGATGTCCTGTCTAAGGGCAATGTGTGGTGTAAATATTATGCAGAAAATTCGGAGTGTGGAAATTAAGAGAAGGTGTGGAGTTAATAAAAGTATTAGTCAGGGGGTTGAAGAGGGGTTGTTGAGGTGGTTTGGTCATTCAGAGAGAATGGATCAAAGTAGAATGACATGGAGAGCGTATAAATCTGTAGGGGAAGGAGGAAGGTGTAGGGGTCATCCTCGAAAAGGTTGGAGAGAGGGGGTAAAGGAGGTTTTGTGGGCGAGGGGCTTGGACTTCCAGCAAGCGTGCGTGAGCGTGTTAGATAGGAGTGAATGGAGATGAATGGTATTTGGGACCTGACGAGCTGTTGGAGTACGAGCAGGGTAATATTTAGTGAAGGGATTCAAGGAAACCAGTTATTTTTATATAGCCGGACTTGAGTCCTGGAAATGGGAAGTACAATGCCTGCACTTTAAAGGAGGGGTTTAGGATATTGGCAGTTTGGAGGGATATGTTGTGTATTTTATACGTACATGTATATGCTTCTAAATTGTTGTATTCTGAGCACCTCTGCAAAAAGTGATTATGTGTGAATGAGGTGAAAGTGTTGAATGATGATGAAAGTATTTTCTTTTTGGGGATTTTCTTTCTTTTTTGATCACCCTGCCTCGGTGGGAGATGGCCGACTTGTTTTAAAAAAAAAAAAAAAAAAAAAAAAATTGTAAATTTTCTTTTAATTTCATTTTGACTTCAGTTCTGTTTAAAAATAGGCTCCTTCAAACTTTAATAATTTAATTCATGTTTTGTTAAAAATTCTGCCCCACAAGAATTAAAAATGCATGACCTGCCACAGTTAAAGGAAGAAACAAATTGTCTGAATGTTTTTATTTCATTCACATTTATGGAAAGAAGATTCTTGGTTAAGTACTTACCTAAATGAGACACACTGCTGAACATTATGATAAACACTTGTCAAAATAACAAATACATATTGCTCTGCTTCCAAAGCACAGATGGCGGGTAGTATGTTTGTGTGAGAACTAGGAACACGATTACCTTGTGTGCCACTATGCACAGGAGAACCTCCTCTGAAAAGAGTAAGCTTAGTAAATAATTATGGACAGATTGGTGTGGTGGGAAAAATTAAACATGTGAGTTTATTTTTGTATAATAGAGTAGAGGTGATGTTCAAATTACGATGGAGTTATGTTCTGATGAATCCATCGTAGGTTGAAAATACTGTAAGCTGAATATGAATACGATATGATAAATGAATAACTACTGTCACTGAATAAGTAAATAAATAAATACTATAACTAACTAAATACCAATATTGCAACATAAATAAATAAATACAAGTTTATCCTATCAATAAATGTACAGTACAGTACATAAAAAAGTTTTACAGTACATCAACATATTATCCAAGGATGATACAGGTACAGTACATGTAGTGATGTGTTGACTACTGAATGTACATTGCTATCACACCATTGTAAAGTCAAAATACCATATGTCAAACCATCGTAAAGTGAGGAGCATCTGCATATAAAGGCATCTAGTCACTATCTTTTCAACTTCAGTATTCTCATTCCAGTCATATTAAGTTGATATGAATAGATTCTTCTTAACTGTTTCACTGTCAAGAACCATGATCCTGAACTCACTCTGTGTAAAAAAAAAAAAAAAAAAAAAAAAAAAAAAAAAAAAAAAAAAAAATCTTAAGAATATTTTTTTGTGAGTGTTTAAAAATAAAAATAATTGTGATCAGTGCTTACCGAGATACAGAGGAGAGAGGTTGACAGAAAGTGTATCGCTTATGGCAACATTGGTGACTGCCGCTCACTCGGTAATATTTTTACAGCACTTTTCTTCAATTTTTTCTCTTTTCTAATATTTTATTTTTTTCAAGTAACTTTTGTGAGACCAATATAGTGCATAATGTATATATATCCACTCACTATATGCAACACAATAACAACATGAACATTGTTATCAATATATTGTTGACAAAACATGTTTACATAAACCCATGCTGCCTTCCCCACCACTGATGCTGCCACAGTGAAAAAAGGAAATAAAACCTGAGTGCTATCATGTGCTTACACAAAATATGCAATCACATGAAAGCACTCAAGTTTTATTTCCTATTTTTACTGTGGTACTTTTACATTATTATTATTACTGTTATTTTAGTTTAGATGACCTTCCAAACTACAACTTCCCTACCCCTCCCTCAGAGAGCAGGCACTCTTATTATTATTATTTCAGAATTACAGTAGGGCCCCACTTTACAGCATTTCGCTAATAGTATAGACATTTCAAATTACGACCAAAACTCGCTATACAGCTCCCCCACCTGACTTTCTAATATAGTCACCATGCCCCACCTGGTTTGTTTACTTTCTCCACGATCTCCACGTCTCCATCATGTCTGAAAACTTTCCAAAATTTCGAGCATTTTAAAGTTATTTCGTATTTTATATATATATACTCTGATAACTGGGATATTGGCAGTTTGGAGGGATATGTTGTGTATCTTTATACATACATGCTTCTAAACTGTTGTATTCTGAGCACCTCTGCAAAAACAGTGATTATGTGTGAGTGAGGTGAAAGTGTTGAATGATGAAAGCATTTTCTTTTTGAGGATTTTCTTTCTTTTTAGGTCACCCTGCCTCGGTGGGAGACGGCCGACCTGTTAAAAAAAAAAAAATTATACTTATCTAGGTAGTAGGTTGGTGGACAGCAACCACCCAGGGAGGTACTACTGTCCTGCCAAGTGAGTGTAAAGCAAAAGCCTGTAACTGTTTTACATGATGGTAGGATTGCTGGTGTCCATTTTTCTGTCTCGTGAACATGCAAGGTTTCAGGTACGTCTTGCTACTTCTACTTACACTTAGGTCACACTACACATACATGTACAAGCATATATATACACACCCCTCTGGGTTTTCTTCTATTTTCTTACTAGTTCTTGTTCTTGTTTATTTCCTCTTACCTCCATGGGGAAGTGGAACAGAATTCTTCCTCCGTAAGCCATGCGTGTTGTAAGAGGCGACTAAAATGCCAGGAGCAAGGGTCTAGTAACCCCTTCTCCTGTATATATTACTAAATGTAAAAGGAGAAGCTTTTGTTTTTCCTTTTGGGCCACCCCGCCTCGGTGGGATACGGCTGGTGTGTTGAAAGAAGTAATGAGTGTACTGCATATGCATTTTATCAGTCTGGGGCACTTTAAATATCATAGTATATTACATGTGGATGGGGTGGCCTGGCTGTCTACCGTACGTCCCACACCTGAGTTCTTACAATAAATACTACTCACCTCTCACCCTACATTAAGACTACAAATATTTTAAAGTAATGAGTGTAATGTGTGTGTATTTTACTTTACATTGTTTTTAATGACTAGTTCCATCCCTAACATAATATATGTTAGTGTAAACTTATCTGGCATTTATATGCATTTATAAGTGGAAAAAATGGTGTTCTGCTTTCCGGTAATGTCCACTTTCTGGCGGTAGCCTGGAACCTAACGTGCCTCGTAAGTGGGGCTCTACTGTATTATTATTATTATTGTGTTATTATTATTTCTGCCTCAGTGGGAGATGGCTGACTTGTTGAAAAAAAAAAAAATATTATTATTATTATTTTGAGAAGTAAAAATACTCAGAACAGCTTACTTGTAAATTTAAACTCAAAGAGCCAAGAAACATCCATACTCCATGATAAAATGAGAATCAAACTAACCGTATAGGAATAACTTTGCAGCCATACAGTCTCCATAGGACTTCCCTCAAAATGCTGTTCAATCTCTCTGTTCCAACCTGTGTTCCTCCTTTTGACTGTACTGCTATACCATGTTCTGCAGAGAAATACACATTCTATTGAGAATAATAGTGTTAGCAGCAAGCTACACTAAACGTGAGACTTAATATCAATAACTTTTAGGTATTAAGTTATTTATTTAGTTGAAATAAAATGCAGGTCAAAGGAAATTAATAATTTATAAAATATCATGAACAAACCCTCGTGGTTTTCATATAACATATGCGCTCGACTTTCCTTTAACAAATTTTTTATAGCACAAATCTGCTCATGCATTCTTTAACCCCTTCACTGTCAGAAGCACCAAAATTAAAAAATGCTGACAGCATTGACATTTTTAACCCTTTCACTCTCCAGGTCCTTCAGATTAAAATTGTCTAAGTAACAGCCAGTAAAAGGGTTAAGAGGGTTTGTCATTTTTATTATTCATTACATATGACTTTTACATCATATGCAAACAGTCATGGTTTTATTCATTTTGGTAAATCAGATATAAATTAAAAACATTATGATGATAAATTCAGATCCTTGTGGAACCCCCCACTTGGAACATCTCCCCACAAGAACATTTTTTTCTCTCATAACTATTTGCATTTTCTTCTCAAAACATCTTTCATCCATTGTAATAATTTGCCTTTTAATCCTCTGAGGGAATGAGAGGCAGAGCAATTAGGTTCGATCCAAGTAAATGGAGGATAGTTTCAATTCCTTTGACCAACAGTGTGAGCAGGAACACAATAAATAGGGTTGTTGCCCGCCACAGGTCTTACAGTATGCGTATAATTATTGGGACAGTAATGAAGAATACACGGTAATAATATGACAGATAACTGACTACCCATTGCTTTTATAAGCATTGCTACACGCTTAGACATAGAATCAATCAAGGTAGACCACATTTTGGCAAGTTCTTCATCATGGTATCAGGTCCTAATAACTGCAGCAATTAGCTTCTCCACAGTTGAACAGTCCTGTTTTGCAATCTTGTGTTTGGTTATTGCCCATGGAGTCTCAATTGGGATGAGGTCAGGAGAGTTTCCAGGCAAATTTAGAATGCTTAGCCCACTCTCTTCAAAGAATGTCAGCATTTTTCTGGAAGTGTGGCATGGAGCAAGATCCTGCTGGAAAAGGCCTTTCCCATTAGGAAAGTCTCAATCCACAATGAGAAGCAAATGAGTTGCCAGAATTTCCTTGTATTTGTCACTGTTTATTGTTCCCTGAACAATAACAAACCATCCAGGGACTCTAGCAGTAAAACTACCCGAAAACATTTAATTAGGTAGGTGTTTTGGTGCTGGTTTAATGTGTCCATTCTGAAGAGGCTCGCCTTTGCCCAGTCTCAATACCACTGATCTGTACCCACATACTTTGAAATGCACCACACCTGATCGAGTGCCCACCACAGCTATTTTTTCTTCATAGCAGCAGTCAACAAGTGTCTTTACCAACTTTCTGCCAGCTCTGCTAAATTCAAGGAGCCTTCATTGAAGAGCAGAAGCCAAATCTCTGTGTAGCTCTTTGCTGGTTTTCTTGGGATCTTTCACACTATTTCTTATGATAATCTTGTCATCATAAGGTGTTGTCTTGCATTTTCTTTCGTATCTTCCTCACCTCACCAGTGTCATCAGCTCTCTTCAGAATCCAACCAATGGTTGACTTTGCTAGGCTCAAATTTTCAGCGATCTGTCTGGTACTCAAATCAGCATTTTTCTAAGAGCTACAATACTTGCACACTTCCTAGGTGTAATATCAATCACGAATTTCAGAGGTAACCACAAATTGAAGGGAAGCACTTGGCAAAAACCACATTCACTCATGGAGCACTCTTGCAAGAATACAGCTTTACAGAACAGCAGATGATGTAACACTGGCGAGAGTCACAGAGTAACACCACAGGTGCATGGTTGCCAGAAGTCAGTAGCAAACTCTTATGAAAAGAACCCCAACTACATTTAAGCCGGAGACTAAGACATATAATGTGATAATCACAAAATTTACTCCTGTCCCAATTAATTTGCACACTACTGTTCATATTGTACTGAGCAGGATTCAACAGTCTTTTTTCATATATCCTTGCTACTAAATATCTCTAACACATCTTCAGTTTTCTGCAAAGGCAGATGATGACCCTCCCACCCAGAAAAAAAAAAAAAAAAAAAAAAAAAGAGAAATTCATTATCAATCTAGTTTTCTTTCCAAAAGTGAATAGACATCCCAGTTCAACTAACCCTCCAGATCACAATAATACTGTGAACACAATTTTGGGAAGAGAATGTGTTTATTTGGTTTAAAACATTGAAAAAAAAATTAAGTGATTCAGACAAAAATCACAAACCATGCAAATGATGATACAGTATCAGAAAATGAAGATGTTTAATTGCTCACCAGAGTACTTCTTATAGGCATCTTTCCATAAATTCTTGCTATTAGAAGTTGCTACATAATGAAGCAGCTGTGAGAATGACACATCTGCCATTAGTCCAGGAGAATGTCCAGAATTTCTGGCTAATGGATACACTTGGACATCATTTTTGGGAATTACCTGAAAAACATTTGAAAATGGTGACTTTTATTTAGCAAGTGGGCTCTCTGAAGTCATAGGGAAACATGCATGAGCATATATAAAGGAAGTGTAGTAAGTTGCAGACACCAGTTAGGTGAGCTGAAGCTTCGTTGTTCTGGTTAGCCCTTTCACTGTCGGTGCCATAGTACTATGGCTTGCAAGCCAGTGTTAGTGCCGTAGTACTACGCCAAAATTCTAGCGCCTTCAAACCTAACGGGACAAAGCTGGTAGGCCTACATGTGAGAGAATGGGTCTGAGTGGTCAGTGGCACAGTATTAAAAAAATTGGGGAGGCCACAGTGCACTGTGGGAGTGCTAATTCAGTACACCTTATTCACCATGCCTTGCAGTAAGGAATACCTCACTCCCTGGCAAATTGGGACTCTCCATTTCCAAGTGATACATAGATCTAACACAGATTGAAGTGTCAGTGAAGATGAATCTCATTGTTTTGAGGAGTTTGTGACTGAAAGCAATGCCCAGGATACCAGAAATAGTGCTGAAAACCCAGACAATCATCAACCTTCCATCTCTGGTGCTGGGCCATCCCATTCATGTTCACTTGTACCACAGCAAAAGACGAAACTCATATTTTCCCATGTCTCAAAGAATAAGTAAGTTTATTCAAGAATACACAAATACAGTTACATAGATTATCATACATAGCAGTATATGTGTAGATTACCTAGGATAACCCAAAAAAGTCAGACAAAGTGACTTATTTCCATGTGGGTGGTGGGGAAGACAGCGTACATTTGTGTAAACAGGTTCTATAAACAATATAATGATAACAATGTTTGTGCGGTTACATATTATGTTGCATATAATGTGTGGATATACGTGTATTTACATTATGCTGTATACTGTTGGTCTCACAGGCCACAAAAGTTACTTGAAAAAGTAAAATATTAGAAAAGAAAAGAAAAAATAGAATAAAAGTAAACATAACATTACCGAGTGAGCAGCAGTTGCCGATGTTGCCATAAGTGGTTCACTTTCTGTCAACCTCACACCTCTATATCTCAATAAGTACTGATTGCAAATTTTTTATTCTTTTAAAAGAATCAGAAAAATATTTTTAAGATTGTGGTAAATTTTTTTTTTTTTTTTTTTAATATTTTTCGACACTGAGAGCAAGTTTGTGATTAGGGGCTTCGACAGTGAAAGGGTTAAAGTTGCTTGATATACTGTACTGATTAGTGATGATTCCGGAGTCCTGCATTTTAAAAGATCATCTTTGACAATGAGCTGTGTGCCCTTACATCTCATCAAGTGGTTGTGGGAGAGTGTGTGAAACACAGGCACTGTTCAAGTGGTCCATTCTGATGGCATATTGGTGTTAACAAATGCATGTGTGAAGATCTCTTGATGTGTTTCCAAAGTACAGTTGACCCCTGACTTACGATATTAATCCATTCCAGAGAGCACATCGTAAGACGAAATTATCGTAAGTCGAATTAATTTTCCCCATAAGAAATAATGGAAATCAAATTAATCTGTTCAAGACACCCAAAAGTATGAAAAAAAATTTTTACCACATGAAATACACATTTTCCTACACACAAAAAGAAGGATACATGCACAGTATATATTGTGCATGTACTAGTGTACTAAATGAAGAATAAATGACACTTACCTTTACTGAAGATGTGGTGATGAGTGATGAGACACTGTTTGTGTCCTGGAAGTGCCTTTTCCTCCTTAGTAATGTTGGTCCTGTTTGACATTTTCTTCCAGAACAGGCCTTATCACACTGTGTATGCCACTATGATTCTTAAATCTCTCAAACCAACATTTGCTTGCCTTAAATTCACCAATATGAGCATTAGTTCCAGGCATTTTTTCCTGTTCACCTGGGTGTTAGTCAACTAGTGTGGGTCGCATCCTGGGGGACAAGATTAAGGACCCCAACGGAAATAAGTTAGACAGTCCTCAATGACACACTGACTTTCTTGGGTTATCCTGGGTGGCTAACCCTCTGGGGTTAATTGTTTCTCGGTATTCTCGATAAGCCCATGGTGGCTTATTTAGCAGTTACAAGCACTAAAAACACTGGAATAATACAAAATTTATCGAATGTATGCTTGCAACCATCCACCCTGGCTTGTAAACAATGTCACACTAGCTCAGATGTGGCGCTCAGGCTAGACGGGCCAGACGGCCGCGTTCGGGACGAATGATGCAAGTCGAGTTTTTCAACATAGGTCGGGGTCAAATTTTTACACTGACAAGCATCGTAAGGCAGTTTTATCACAGGTTGAGGCCATCATAAGTCGGGGGTCCCCTGTATATTTGGTCACAGTCATTGCAAATGATTGTGTATATCCCTACTATAGTTTGGACTTGGTGGTGGTGTATCTTACTAGTTAAGTCTTTGACTGTAGTGGAGGTAGATCCTTGGAATTTGGTGTTGTAGAAAATGCTGGATATGTGTTCAACAATAGAGTTGTAAAGGAGGATTGTATATATCTTCTTTCAGTGGTGGCTCATCCAGGTGGGCTGAAGATATGTACGGTACCATCAATCTCTGATGAAATGACAAGGATGGTGAAGTTTAGGAAAGATCTGTTCTAGGAATTCACTGGTGTTGATAAGGAGAACAAGTAGGAAAAAGCCTATGACAGTGCCACATTTACAGTCTTGCTGTTTGAGGTGTGAGTAGATCAAGTAGATTGGTAGGTCTATGGTCAACCTTGGAATGTAGTTAATGATATTTGCAGAGTAAAACATCAAGGAAAGGCATAGTACCATCAACTTGCAACTGTGAATAGATAGAGGACTCTACCTATCATTTTCCTAGTGGATGTGATAATGACAGTGTTGTGATCTTAGAAAGTGAGATCCTCTGACATCACTCGCAAATCCTTTACATGAGTTTTCCTCTCTAATGTGTGGTTAGAATTTGTTTTATACTCCAATCTAGCTTTTATTTCCTCAAATTTTCCACAGCAGAGTAACTGATATTTATTTTTATTGAACTTCATATCATTTTCTGTGACCCATTTGAAGACTTGATTTATATCTGCATGGAGATTTGCAGTATTTTCAATAGATGACACTCTCATGCAAATTCTAGCATCATCAGCAAAGGATGACAGTGCTATGGTTTACGTCTCTGTCTGTCAGACGTGAGGATGAGAAAAGGATGGGAGCAAGTATGTATCTTGTGGAAAAGAGCTTTTCACTGCAGCTGCCTCTGACTTAAATCAGTTTACTATTACTTTTTGTGTTGTTTTGGTCAGGAAGTTAAAGATCCATCACCCACTTTTCCTGTTATTCCTTTATCGTGCATTTTGTGTATTATTACACCATGATAGGCCTTGTCGAAGGCTTTTGCAAAATCTGTGTATACTACATCTGCAGTCTGCTTCCTCCAGTGTATCCAAGCTGTGAGAGGCAGGAGCAAGCTGCTCTAAACCCATGGTGCCCTGGGTTGTGCAAATGTTGGGTGTCCAAGTGGTTGGCAATCTTGCTTCTTGGAACCCTCTCAAAGATTTTTATGGTGCAAGATGTTAGTACCATCAGTCTATAAATCTTTACATTGTTTTACTGCCACCTTTGTGGAGTAGGGGTCTCTCTCCTTACCATACATAAGACACGTGAAAGGGATTTCTTGCAGTTCTTGAAGAACACGCAGTCCCATGAGTCTGGGCCTGATGCAGATTGCATGGGCATGTCATTAATTGCTTTTTAAAATTTCAGTGGTGTTAGTGTTATATCAGAAATTCTGGAAATATTAACTAAGGTGGAAGAGAAAGGGGGAGGAGGGAGGAGGAGGGTGAGGGTAGGAAGTTGTTGCCATCATGCACAGATATTGCACAGCAATGAACTCACCTGAATGAACACTCTCTGCCACATGTCACCTATTCTCTCTCCAAGTTGCAAGGCTGAATGAATCTCAGTTTCACTAAGGGTGTCATGTAGAGAAGGCATATAAAATGTTCCATCTCTAACTATTGCCCTAGAGAAAAAAGTACAAATTAATCTAAAACATTTTATGCACAGACTCTCCTGAAACAAGAGGATAATATTTCACAGTTAAATGAATTATATTTCACAATATTTACAGATGCAATGAACATATTGCATTATGCAAATGAACAAGGTACAGTTCAAAAGATGAACATATATTATAAATGGAATTTGCTTAAATACAGTAGATCATCATTTAACATGGGCTCCTTCAACAAGTTCTTTCCATTACACTATTGCAGAACAGTGGCATATTTTCAACTAACACTCCATAAAATTTGGCTAACATGGCATCACTTCTGGGGAAAAAAAATTGGAGTGCTGTGACCTGGACCGCAGGATTTTTCCTCTCTGTCTAGTGGGCTCGCAGACAGCCTGCCTGTGGGTCTGCCCAATGTCTTTGTGGGGGAGGCCTAGCTTCCTCCCCTGCCTCCCTGTCCCACCTCTCATTGGTCTGTACACACGTGTCCCATAGAATTCTCAGATCTGTGTTTGTGATTAAATTAGTTGATTTCTGTACGCCAGTCAATATATGCAGTGTTCATATTAACCCTTTGACTATCGCGGCCGTATATATGTCTTACGCGGTACCGTGTTTGACGTATATATACTCATAAATTCTAGCGGCTTCAAATCAAGCAGGAGAAAGCTGGTAGGCCCACATGTGAGAGAATGGGTCTGTATGGTCAGTGTGCACCATATAAAAAAAATCCTGGAGGACGCAGTGCATGAGAAAAAAAAAACTCCGACCGTTTTTTTATAATTAAAATGCTGACTTTGTGATCTATTTTCGTATAGTATTTATGGTTGTAGTCTCGTTTTCTTGGTCTCATTTGATAGAATGGAAAACATGTTATAGAAATAGAGGAGATTTTGATTGATTTTACTATAAAAAGAACCTGGAAATGGAGCTCAAAGTAGGGGAAATGTTTGATTTTTGCCAATGTTCAAAAGTAAACAAATGATGTCATTGTCCAATAAATGTCCAACTAGTCATTCTAATATGCAGTCATGAATGGGTTGATGTTATTTATACAATTATTACAGTATTGCAGTAGTCTGCATAATAGTAAGTCTTCTATTTTTTGTTTGAATAAAAATTCAAAATAGAAAGCAAGAGCAATATCAGAGGGGCTTGGAGACATGACTGATGAACAAAGAAAATGTTATTTTAGAGCCACTAATGTCTGCATTGTTCATTCTGGACCTTATTTTGAAATTGTCATATTTTTTAATTTTCGTGAAATTGGCCAAATTGCAAATTTCTGACCACATTATTGGGTAGTTGAAATCAGTAAATGGGCAGTTTCTTGTACTCAATCGATAGAAATGGAGTTCTAAAGAAATAGCTATAAGTTTGGTTGACTGGAACAACGGAATTAGCCGAAAATAGGGCTCAAAGTGGGCGAAATCGCCAATTTGTAAATATCGCCGAGGTCGCTAACTTCGCGAGACCGTAATTCCGTCAGTTTTCCATCAAGTTTTGTTTTTTTGGTGTCATTACAATCGGAAAAGATTCTCTATCATTTCATAAGAAAAAATAAATTTTTTTTTTAAATTTTGCGACACCCGGAGACACCTTAGGATTGGGGGTTGCGACAGTCAAGGGGTTAAATACGTACTCACTTTGACTTTTTTTGGGGTTATCACAGGTAATTTACACTATATATGATAATTTTACTTACATGTACCTGTGCCTAAATAAAATTATTTACTGGGCTCAAATGTAAGCTTCCTGGAGACAATGTTTATATACAGATTGAGAGGGCAGGCACAAACATCACCTGTTCATGCTTATCTTCGTTTGCACAGTAAAAGTTTAAAGATGAAAGGAACCTGGATGTAATGTGTATACAGTGCCTACTTCATATAAATTTGTGCATCAATATAGTGGGTACACTTGTGTATTGTGTTAAACAAAGTAGGACGTCTGTGAGGGTTTATTGTGTTGGTATTAAGGGCTAACAGCCTATGAGCATACCATCCACCCTCTCTTATACAGGAGGACCCTGCTTTACGGTGTTATGCTTTAGGGAGATTCACCAATATGGACATATCAAATTACAACTAAAAATTTGTTTATACAGCCCCTTGATTCACTATTATGGAGTACACATGTCACTCTGTTTACATCCTCCGTGAGCTCCGTGTCTATCGATTATGTCTGGAAACTTTCCAAAATTTCTAGTGTTTTAACCCTTTCAGGGTCCAGAGGTCAAATTTCAAAGTGTGCACCAGGGTCCAAAAATTTTCAAAAAATAATTTCGTTATTTTTCTTATGAAATGCTAGAGAATCTTTTTCTGAAGGTAATAAAACAAAAATTATAAAATTTGATGGAAAATTGACGAAATTATGCTCTTGCGAGTTTTGATGTGTCAACGATATGTACGTATCGGCGATTTTGCCGACTTTGACTCCCATTTCATGCCAATTTACATTATTCCAGTCAACCAAATTCTTTGCTATTTCACTAGTATTACTTCTAGTCTATCGACTGAGCACAAGAAATCGCCAAGTCAACTGTTTCAACTACAAAATAAAATGATCGGAAATTAGTAATTTGTCCAATTTAATGCAAAGTTTAAAATATTCTAATTTCAAAATAAGGTCCAGAATAAACAATGCAGGCATTCCTGGCACTAAACTAACAATTCCTCTGTTTATTAGTTACATTTTCAGGCTTTACAAATGAATTCCATTTTGATTTTTTATTCACATAATGAATTTTTATTCAAACCAAAAAATAGAAGATTTACTGTTATGCAATATTGTAATAATTGTAATAATTGCAGTCAGAATGATAACAAATTCCCACTGCAGGCAGCACACTCCACCAATATTCAAAACTCTAAACCTACTCACCATACAAAACATTCATACTTATTATTGTACCTACTACATACATAGAACACTTAACTCGGATATAAACCCTCCCCTCAAACGTCTCCTTACCAACCTCAACAGAACACATGACCATAACACAAGGCACAGATCACTCTTTGATGTTCCTCATGTCCATCTCACACTATGCAAAAACTCAATGCACCTAAAAGGCCCAAAAATCTGGAATTCATTACCTGTGAATATAAAAGAAACACTGATGTTTATAAATTCAAGTCTCTTCTTAAAAATCACTTACTCACCCACAACTAAATAAATACTGAATAGTTGTATCTCATAAATGTGCAAACTTTGTTATTTTTAATTACATTACCTAACAGAATACTCCATTCTACTGAATGCACAGCAACACAGTAATGACCATATGACCTGTCTTTGAAATACTCATGTGTGCTTAATTGTTATCTGTTTACAATAATGTTTACCACTGAATATATCATTGTTTAGTTAATCTTAAGTTAATTTTAAGCCTGCCCAAAATGCTCTGCATACAAGGGGCTTTGGCATGTTACACTTAACCACTGTATTTCTTTGTACTTCTATGTATCATGTTCAAATTAATAAATAAATAAATAAATAAATATCACCACATTTGTGAATGTATATTAGACCCACCAGTTGGCGTGAATTAGACATGTGAGGTCATTTGCTTACTCTTGAACATCGGCAAAAATTGAACATTTCTGCTTCTTTGAGCTCAGTTTCAAGCGATTTCTAATAATAAAGCCAATCAAAATCTTCTCTATTTCTGTAATATATCTTCCATTCTATCAAATGAGACCAAGAAATTGCAAATACAAGTATAAAAAAACATACAAAAAACACTGCAAAGTCGTTGTTATAATCGAAAATTATGGTCTCAGTTTTTTCTCTCATTATGCACTGTGTACTGCAGGATTTGTTTTATGTGGTGCACACTTACCACATAGAAGTATTCTCTCAAATCTAGGCCCAAATTTACCGCTCACAGCTTATCAGAGTGAGCTGAGCTCATGGCGTAGATCTATGGTTTGGGCCCTCAACGTATAGCCATAGATCTATGGCACGGACCCTGCAAGGGTTAAAGTTACAGTGGAATCTTGGTTTTCATCATTAACCCTTAAACTGTCCAAACAGATCTATGTTCACATGCGTAGTGCTCAAAAAGTAGATCTACGTTTTTTTACATATTTTCAAATACAGTGGTCCCTCGTTTTTCATAATTAATCCGTTCCTGGAGCCGTTACTATAAACGAAATTTACGATTTACGAATCAATTTTCCCCATAAGAAATAATGTAAATACAATTAATCCATTCCTGACACCCAGAAGTATTAAAACAAAAAAATTTTTAACATGAAATATACATGTAGTACATAAACAGTACAATGGGAAATGATGAATGAAACATTAACAGCATAACACTTACCTTTATTGGAGATTCTTCTTAGTGTATGGGAGACTGGAGGAGGAGAGAGAGTGGATTGTTTATAATTTGGAACATCAACACCTCAGGTACCATTTGCTTTTCTGGGGTTGCTTCTCTTCTCTGTTTCTTAATGCCACTAGGACCACCTTGAGAGTCACTGGAGTCCTGTCTCACAAAATAACTGTGGAGAGAGCTCTGTTTCTGGCATCTCTTTAACACTTCCCTAAAATGGCCCAAGACTTTGTCACTGTACATGTTGCCAACCTGGCTTGCAACAACCTTGTTAGGGTGATGTTTCTCCATAAAGCTTTCCATCTTACCCCACATAGTAAAAATCTCTTTAATTTCTGAAGAAGGCACCTTCTTCCATCTCTCTTCCTCCTCCTCTGCAGCAAGATTCTGAGCTGCGATGTGTTGCTCTTCCTGCTGAAGCTCTTGCAGCTCCTCAGTGGTGAGCTCTTCATTGTGGTCTTCCACCAATTCTTCCACATCCTCCAAACTCACATCCAACCCCATGGAACTCCCCAGTGCCACAACTGATTTTACAACAGACATAGGCTCATTAGGGTCAGCCCCAAATCCTTCAAAATCCCTCATGTCGACACAATCTGGCCACAATTTTCTCCAGGCAGAGTTCAAAGTCCTGGTAGTCACTCCCTCCCAAGCCATACCTATAAGG